GCTTGACAGTAGCCTTGAGACATGAGGGCTTCTATCAGAAGTGGGCCACTTGGACCTTGCTATCACAGGTGGTGCAGTGGCTCCAAATGTCCGTCCAAGCACAGTCCCGACAGACGCAGGCCATCCTCTGAAGGCACAATTGCATTTCTTGCAGCTGCTGAATGATGGCGAGTAAGGACGATCCCTCCTCACTTCCGTTCCAAGAAGGCGCCTCGTCCGGGAGGGCAGAGAAGTGGCTCTGTGAGCAGACATCACAGGGCAGCCAGAAGTACAAAAATCCCAGCTCGGGATGAAAGCCGATCCGAGTGCCACCACCACCTCTGTGTCCAGAACGGGCAGTGTTGATTAAGGAGAGTGAGCAGGGTCAGGCATCCCTCCCACACACTGCTCACGGGGGCCCAGGAGGAGGGAGCCTTGTGCAGTCAGGCAGAGTCTAGCATTTACCCATGCTAGGGCCAAAAGCCAGCTGCAACAAAGGTCCCCCAAATGAGAAGCAGGAGCCCAGGTTTGGGAAGCCCCAGTGAGCCAGCCAGCCAGTGGGCTGAGGATAGGCCCGGACAGTGGGCACACCCCACCTCCGGCGCTTCCAGTCCCGCCTTCCCCTGGCAGGCCGTGTCCTCCGTGGCAGGTGAGCCTGCACTTGCACCCACTGGAGCCTCCGCAGAAACCAGGGGGCCTGCCTGGTGTGACCGGGCCTGGGCTGGGCCGTCAGGGTGTCTCTTCCAGCTTGGACACAGGCGAGGCCAGGAGATGGAGCCCGACCCCCACTGGTCGGCCCCAGGGTGGGCGCAGCTCAGGCCCTGCCCGTGGGTCAGACGCCCAGGCCTACGACGGGCGCAGTTTTCTATTTATTTATTTATCTACATTCAGCTGAAATGAGATGCACTGCCTGAGTGATGCAGACATACAGAAAGAAAAACAACCCACTCTCTCCCACTGGTGTTGAAAATAAAATCTTCACTTATAAAACGGAAACACTAAAGCATTAAAATACAGAAAGCGCGTGTAACTCACTTCACAAAAGCATTGAACAGACGTGGTATCCCGCCAGCGCCCGTTTCCAGACACGCGCGTGAACACGAACACCAATTGTCAACAGGCAGCGGGATACCGAACTGCAAGACTGCGACACGCTACTCAGACACGGTGTGATGGTAACTAACAAACCACTGAAGACGCGGAGTCCCAAACACGGCTAAATATGGGTCACAGGACGGGCCACGGCAGTGACCAGCTGCACCTCACAACACGGCAACGTGGAACCGGGGATGGGGAGGGCGAGAGGGCCAAGGGACTGGTTGACATGTTAACTGTGATGCATAAAACTGAATCCTCGAATGGGGCTTGAGTGGCAGGACGGGCTTATCTGTACTGGTAGTTCATGCTGTGGTCTGCGTTTCTGCCATAGCCGCCCTGTGATGACTGGTAGGAGCTGGGAGGGCCGCTGTAGTTCTGGCCAGAGCCGGGGGAGTTGTAGTTTGACTGTGACGAGTAGCCACCTGACAGAGAAGGAGGTGGGAGTCAGCAGGCATGTGGAGAGACGAGCCCACCCGGGCAAGCTCACTCAGGCTGCCAACTCTGCCAGTGCCCAGCACACATGGTGAGCTGTCACCATCACCCTCAGAGGGTGGGGGCCCATGACCGGAGCAGTGAGCCAGCCCTGGCCATGAAGACCACAGAGCTCAGGCCCTGGGAAAGGTCCCAGGTCCTCCCTGTGGGAGATGCCCTTTGTCTGGCCACAGAGTCTGATCCCAGCATTTCGTCAAGAGGTGTTGTTAGGGAAGAGCAGACTAATTTCGTTTGGATTCCTCACTTCCAAGAAGTCGGTGAGCCTGAGCCTGCGTGTTCACAGGCACGTCTCAAGGAGCCCCCTTGCCCAACCTTACTCCCTCCTCACTGCCCCTTCAAGTCCCTTGCTGCCCAGGCCTACCTTGTTTGCCTTGGTAGGATGAGCCGCCACCAGAGCCCCCACCATAGCCGCCGTGTGAGCCTGGGTTGTAGGATGAGCCGCCAGAGCCGTAGTTGTTGCCGCCGCTTCGGCCTCCACTACCACTGTAGTCTGGGTGGAGAAGACGGCGCAGTTATAGCCGGGAAGGGGCTGTGCAGGCCCCCAGCAGAGATCTGGAGTCTTTGCAGATGGCCCTGTACTGACCATGGAAATGGAGCACAGGCCATGCCACTGAGGAAGCTCAGAGGGCAGCTAGAGCCCTGCAGGGTGACCCCCTACCCCTGGCCTTGTCAACACACTCAACAGCTGAGCCCTGTCCTGCCTTCCTGCGGGTGGACGAACTTCCTGGGTGCTGAGGGCTGGAAGGGGGTCTCTCCGCACCCCTACCCCACCCACAGCAATGTCATTTGTCCCCAGTCCCACTGCTGCCTCATCTCACTGGAACACGGATTCCTCCCAGCTGTCCCCAGTACAGCCCCAAGATGCGGGCCCCTCAGAAGTGGCGGGAGATGTGGAGCGGAAACAACATTGTAGTGCTGGTGCTCGTCCAGACCAGATGCCACACTGCCTCATACCCCCGCCCCCCGAGGCCCGGCAGCACTCCTTGGGAGAAGCACACCAGGCCCTGGGGCCCCGGAGCCAACTCACTGAACTTGCTCTCGTAGCTGTAGTCGGCCCCGCCGCCCCCGGGGGAGCCGTAGGAGTTGGAGTAGGAGGAGTAGCTGCCAGGCCCATGGCCATAGCCTTTCTGCTTGCCCTGCGAGGGTCCGTAGCTGCCGTACTGGCTCTGGCTGTAAGGTTGCTGCTGGCCTTGGTGGGACTGGTAGCTGGAGCCGTAGGAAGGCTTTTGCTGGCCCCCGTGCGGCTGCTTCTTTCCTGCGTGTTTTGGGGGCACCGGTGAGTTGTAGTTGTCACCTTGGTAGTAGGAGCCGTAGCCAGAGGAGCCACCACCGCCCCCGCCGCCGCCTCCACCAGCATTCCCAGAATGCCCTCCGTTGCTGTAGAACTGACCTACACAGGAAGGCAGCGGGTAAGGTAGAGCAGGAGGAGGGCAGGGGAAGGGCGAGGAAGGGGCAATACAGGGCTGTGGGCCCCAAGGTGGCCCAGCAACACGTGTCTGCCATCAGGTGGCGTGGGGCGGGCATGGAAGGGTGGGACGGGGTTGGGAGCGGCCTGCTGCATCCACAGGCGGTGGGCCGGCTCCATCGGGCACAGGGGCTCCACGCAGCATCAGTGATGACAACACTGGATCTGTGCCAAGCAGCGGCGGGCAGCACCCGGAGCAGCGATGGCAGCGGATGGCAACGTTACAGTGAGATGAGATCCGGGTGCCGCACGACATTCACGACTGCTACCCAGATGTCCCCGACGGCGACAGGAAAAGCAAAGCCCCACGCAGCAGCTGGTGCCCACCCCCACTGTGCTGGGAAAAGGTGCAGCAGACCCAGACTGAGGCCCAGGCCTGGCCAAAAGGCCCATGGGGACTCCCGCGCATGAAGGGCCCCACCCCCAGGAGAAGGCAGGCAGGCTTAGCTGGGAACCCTCACACCCAGAGCCCCCCAGAAGCTTTCTTCCCAGCACAGCTGCAGGGCATGGACAGCAGGACCAAGCGGCAGGACGGACAAGTGTGCAGCGAGGCCGCCACATTCTCAGGCCCCGGAGCGGAGAATGTCACGGGGAGTGGAGTGCCACCCCTATGTCAGCAGGGAGGAAACCCCAGGGCACGCACGCTTGTCAACACCCTGCCTCCCCCACTCCCCCCACCCCACCCTTAGGGACTCGGGATGATGGAGGGAGAGTGACAGTTCAAGGCACACTGGGTGCTGCTTTACCGGAGCCCCGCCCCAACCCCGCAGCAGTCTCTTAGCAGGGGTGGGAGTGGGGGGGCTGAGGGAGGGCTGGCTGCAGGGTTGGGGGACCAGGATGAATGCAACAGGTATACCTGAGCTGCTGGCTCCCCAGCATAGGAGACCTGGTTTCCAGGCCCAGCCCCACCAGCCAGCCCTGACCACTAGGACTGCTGCTGGGGGGTTGGACCCCGCTTACCCTGTGTCCAGGACCGACAGGAGAGTGAGGGGGTGCTCCCCACAGCTAGTCCTGCCCTCCCTGCTCACAGCACCAAGTGTATGTGCACTAGGCCTCTGGACACTCTGGGGCCCCACCCAGTGGGCCCTGCACCCACACAGCTGGAGCTTGAGACATTTGAAGAATTTGGACAGAACTGGTCAACAGACTCCAGTTTGAGTTCTTCAGGCAGCACCCCCACCCCGACGGCATCATCACAAAGTCAAACACTGAGGAGGCAGCCATGTCCGGGTGTTAGGCAGCACCATGCAAACCACGGCTAGAAGGAGCCCGGGCAGGGGAGCCCTCTCCAGTCACCCCGAGTCCCAAAGCCTGCTGCAGCCCCATCAGCCCCCCAGCTGAGCAGGTGGCGCCTCTGCCCCCTCCTGAAGCACATGAATGAAGACACCGAGTATCGAGGGCTCGTTACTGTAACATGTATTGTTTAAAAAATAAAGGGAAGGGCAGGGCAAGTTGTCAACGTCATTCAGGATAACTATTTCCTGGTATCAAAAGACATGATTCTCAAACAATATAATTCCCTAAAAAAAAAAAAAAATACATCATGCAAGAAAACTTTTCAAAGTTTCACTGAATGTTTCAAACCTCTGGGAACAAAATATGCAGTCACCATTTGACCAGTTTTTGCCTGAAGAGAAATGCAAAATCTTGCAAGTCAACACAGAGGCCGCCCTGCCTGCCAGATTAATCACCAAGAAGGGTTGGTCAGAGCCAGCACCCTCTGCGCGACCCCACATTCTGGCCAGAAAATCCCGCCAGGCCACACCCACAGGCCCACTTTGAAAAGGAAAGCCCCAGAATCCCACCCAATTGCAGAGCGATGTTTGGGACTTGCAAAATTTCACCTTCTCTACTCCTTACAACAGCCTGTCTGGTGTTTGATTTTGTCTTTTAATTTTTTTTTGCACTTAACATGGAAGCACAGTTTTGATACCTTTGAGAGTTTCCGTTCACTCTCTAGGGAAACCAGCCAGGAAATACCGCATCCCATCTTCCCGTCCCCCACCCCCACAATAACCCACCAAAGCATTTACAAAAGGCGGGAGAGGCTAACGGGGCACAATTTCCAGTCTCCCCCCACCCGTTCCCCAAGTTTACATGCTTAGAAAAAAGAAAAGGGGCTCAGATGTGGTGAAACCATTTTCCTTACTGTCAAAGGCATCAACCAGGTTTGGAAAATTTGTTAAAAGGTTAAAAATTCATACAAAACCTGCTGTAAATTAAGACAAAGGTAGAGTTAAATGCTTCGGTATCTGTCTCTTAAATAAAGGAATGCTTTCCATAAAAAGCAAAGGTGGGCTTTTGCCTTGATGCGGAACAACGCTGGCTCTAGGGTTCTGTGCAAGTCTGCACAAAAAGATACATTCTCTGAAAAGTGTTTCCACTTAGTGTGAACTTCGATAGGACCAAGTTCAAAGGCAAATCACGATAAAAACTGCCATTGTCTTAAATTCTGCAGGCTAAGAGTTTCAGACAAGCTGCGGTGAAAAGCCACGGTTGAGAAACCCAGTGAAGCACAGGGACACAGCACGGACACTTTGGGTTTTGGAGTTCGAGAAAAGTGGAGTAAAAAGTTGATTTTGTGTGCAATACTTTTAGATGCTCTAGGAAGACCCAAAATCATGATAGCCGTAGCAGTCTGTGAAAAAGTCACCTACAAAGGGGGGAGACAGAGCAGAGAAAAAAAATTAGAATTCTTTTGAAGAAGGGCACAGAGCGCCACATTTGAGTTGCACGTTTTAGATTTCTCTGCCTCTGTGACCCCCCAGTGAAGGCTCCTTCCCCAGACAAGAGCTGTGCCCTGTCCGAAAACCGTACTCACTGGGTGGGCGCGGCGCATGGCTCACAGCAGAGAAATGTAAAATTTCCACTTTTAAGTAACTTTGAAGTCACACAACTCTGGGTGTTAACATTTACAGACTCCTGTCACATGGCTGCAGGGTAGGGGACCTGGCGACAGTCTGACCTAGCCACCAAAAAAAGGCAGGTGCCCCTCCTAGTCTCAGTGGGCAGCGGAGGGTGGGCAGCCCTGCTCTAACTCTGGCCCAGGCGCTACGCTGTACCTGCTTCCCCAGTTCGAGACAGAAAAACACACACTTACTGTAGCCTGCGGTCGCCAAGTTGCCTCCGTACCCGTAGCTCCCGTACCCAGCACCTGGAAGAGAAGAGAGCAGGGTCAGAGGTAGAAAGCAGGCCTGTCACGCCCCTTTTCTCGCTACCACCCGACCCTGAACCTGCCACTGTGGGCACATGGAAACCAGCCTTACCAGCATTCATGTAGCCTCCATGGTTGGCACCGCCAAACCCTCGGCCTCGCCCTCGGCCACGGATATTCCCTCCTCTGCCACGGCCGCGCAGGTTTGGGGGCGGGGGAACTTCATTGTGCATGGGACCTCCCATGCCAAACCCCGGGTTATGTGGCTAGAGGGAACAGCGACAAGTTACTAAGCAGGTTCTCAAATTAGCGGGGTTGCACACACGCACCAGGCCGAGCACCTACGCGAGGAGGTGAACACCAAGACACCCACCTTAGCAGCAAATTTAGGGCCCCCGCGGACGGGGACAGGGGCCCTCTTCTTTTTGTTCGCATCAAGGGCGAGAGGGGCGTCAGGAAAGAGCTTCTCCAGGGCAGCCAGGGCAGCATAGGCCTTGGCCACCTTTTTGTTGGAGCCAGCGCCTTGGAACTTCTGCCCATCCACCTCCACCTAGAAGGGAGAGGAAGGTCAGGGACAGGAGATGGCCCCCTGGAGACCAGCTCCTGCCCCCAAGGACCGGGCTGCTCCCTCACCTCCATGACAAAGCGCTTGTCGTGGCTGCCGCCAGTCTCCGAGATGAGCTCATACTTCAGCCCACGCCGCTTCTCGTTCAGCTCCATGACTGGGTTCTTGCCATGCTTGGTCAGGATTGGCCCCTGCTGTTTTACGTTCTCAGGGAAAACCAGAAAGAACCCACCAACTTAGCCCTGCCCGACAGCCCCGGGACTACCTCCCCTACCCCCTCCTGACAAGGTCCACCACAGGGGCACAGAGGGTGGTATAGCACAGGATGGTCCTCTCTGTGGGGTGTCCAAGGACCACTATGGATGGAAACTAGGAGGCCCTGAATAGTCTGCTTCCCCAGTTGTGTCAGCTGGCCTGGCACCCATGCCGCGCTCACCTCAGTGGTGGAGTCCGAGGGGAAGGTAGAGCTGGCGGTGGAGACAGCTTCCACCACAGGTGGAGGGGCCACCACTGGCTTCGCCTCCGTCTCTTCAGCAGAGTCTTCCCCCTTGCTGGAGTCCCTGCCTTCAGCGCCCGTCGGCAAACCCATGTCTTGTAACACCTGTGGAGGCGCCCACAGAGCCCAGAGTCTCTCACTGCCGCCTCGCCTCCCACTCAGCTCTCCCAGGCCAGGGTATCCCAAATCGTATAAGAGGGCAGTGAACCTGGCCACTGGAGGGTCTGATGACCTCTTTTCTCAGGACCAGCTGATGCCAGGCTAGGCGGGTGGCCCCCTATGCTCTTCCCCTACACAACACAGGCCTCTGACCACGCGTCACCGGGGCAAACGCTCCAACACTGAAACATGACAGTGTTTGGGAGCCCTTCCTAAAACTCACACTGCCCACCCTGGGGGCTCCAGGATGGGAAAGGGTTCTGCCCCAGAAGATCAAGCTGCACTAGGCCATCGGGCCACTTACCTTAACAGCCACGTGCAGCTTGGCAGTCTTTTTGGATGGCCCCGAGGCCTCGAATGAATTCCCGTCTACTTCCACAGACATCGTGAAAATAGGGGCGTGGACTGGCCCGGTCTGGGAAAGCAGTTTGTACTGCAGTCCGGGTTTCAGTTGGTTCAGCCGCATCAGCGCGTTCATGGCTTGGGGAGGCTCTGCCTTCTCCTCTACAGAGACACCGAGGTGGGTCAGGGTGAGCACGGCACCCAGGAAAGCAGCTTTGGGGTGCTCTGGGTCACGCTTGTCCCTCAGCAGTGTAGCTTCTAGACACCCTGACCAGTCTCCCGGGCCGGCCACCCCATGGGCATCAGTGAAGGCCCAACCCCAAATCATGCTCTACACCCACTGAAGGTCGGTGCTGCTTAAAGGCCTTCAGTGCCAACAGCCAAGGCCCAGGCTGGCGGCATACCTTTTTTCTGGATCTTCTTCTTCTTCTTGCTGGGAGACTTCTCCTCCCCGTCTTCCTCCATCGGCCGCTTCATGGGCGTAATGGCATAGGTGGTACTGGGCGGAATTTGAACTGAAAGAACAGAAGAAGCCAAGCAGCTGAGGAAGCGGGTCTTCTGCCAGCCTGGTGCGGCTCCGGAAGCAGCTGCGGGCTTACCGGTGTAGTCCACTGGGTTTTCATTCTTTGGCTTCTTAGGCATCTTAGAAGGCAGAGGGTCCATGCCCAGAACCTTGTGGAGCTGGCCAAAAGCAGCAAGCCGCAGAGCATGCTGGAGAAGGGGAAGAGGAGACTGACTCGGCTGCCCTGTGCTGCCAACCAGGTGGTGTGTGCTCACTAAGGCCTTCTGAGAAGGGGCAAACACTGAGAAGGGGGTTGCTAGCGGTCTCCCCTACAACAGCAAGGAGTCCCCCAACAGCCAGGGCAATGCCTGACTGCTAGGGCCCAGCCTTGCTGTGGTGGAAGGCCAGCCTGTGACCACCCCCCGTGAGAGGAATACAGGAGACCCCAACCTGGGGACTGGCTGCCACACGGAGCCACGTGGCGGGCCTGCAGGGGAAGGCCCCCGGAGCAGTCCACACTGTAAACGCATCTCCTCGCTGAACTCGGTGTCCGAAAACCGCACTCGAGCAGACTGAGGGCAGGCGACCACCACGCCTGGCGCCCGGGGAGAAGCAGCCCAGATTGGGGCGCCCTGTACCAGCCACGCGCCCTCTGCCTGCGGTCCCGACCTGAGCCTACACGTCCAGTGGCTACCCTGAGGATACCCAGTAATGGAACTGGAAGCCAGCGATTTAAAGACTGGGTCAGGGCTCACGGTGGCAATGGCGATGACTATACCTGCGCACTCTGTGTGATATCTTCCCGTTGCTGTCTGTCTAGATGCCCAATAGCATCAGTGGCTTCTTTTTCACAAGGGTCATAAATGCCAGAACCATCTGAAGGCAGGAAACAAGGAAGATATGCAGAGGATTATCCTTTAGCATCTCTGAAGACTTGTGCGGCTGAGGGAGTCAGTCAGGTGCGGTACCCCTCGCGCCCCATCCACACCCAGCTCTGAAAACACGCCGAGCTGGGGGACCCACTCGGCGTCCAGCCCTCGAGAGAAATAATCCACATGTGGCTCAGAGCAAGAAATTCACGTGGGAGTGGGTCACCCCTGCCCCCGGTTCCGCCCTCTAAAGAATCTCAGCTGCGGACCCGGCACAGGGCTGGATAGGATGGTGCCAGAGGGTAGTCACATGCTTCTGCCCTAGAGGAGGGGGGCAGGTGGGGGATACACATGGAGCTCTGCTGCCCTAACCCAGTCAGGGGACCAGCGAGGAAGTGGCCTCAGGGCCTCAGTCCTGTCCTTTCCCTGCAACTTGCAAAGAGAAGGCCCCAACCTGGCATGACGATCCCCGAGGCCAGGCACTCCAGCACTCTCCGCAGGGCCTCGCCGGCCCCCATGGGCCGGTTAGCAGTGCCGATAGACTTCTCACAGAGTAGCTCCAAGGGCTGCAAGGCAAGAGAGACTGTGAGCCGCAT